TTATTTAAGGTGACTCTACCCCTAGTTTCTCCCTCTGCTCTTCCGGCTAAAAAACAAAGAACTTCTAAGTGATTTTTGATCTAATTAAAAAAATTTGTAATTGAATCATTATCTTACCAATTACATCGAGTAGAGCTCTTTTTCCAGATCCTTTTGAACCCAGAATTGCTAATACTTCACCACCATAAACTCGAGCGGATACATCTCTTAACACTGCAGTCGGTTCTGACTTGCTTAAACAACTTCCTTCAATAACTACAGTAGTGGAATGAAATACATTTGAAATATCTAAAGTACAGTCCGATGGGATCATTCTGAATCTATTTGAATTACTTCATAACGATCCTTTGAAAAAAATAAACTTATATTTAACAAGAATAAACTACAATAAATTTTAAAGATAATTGCATTAAAACAAAGAAATAATCATTTTTCCAATGAGTATAATATTTGAATACGAGGATTGTATTTAGAAATACGCGTAAAACAGACAAAACGCTGTAAAGTCTAGCACTGTGATTAGAGAAGTGAACATTGCAAGTAAAACGTAGCCAGTAATAACGATACCTGGCTGGGAGTTGGCTTCATGAGGTGAATGTCTCCTTTGAGAAGAGTTTGGTGGGAGGAAGGTAGTATCAGTAGTAATTCAAGAATGTATTCATTAATTTCAGTTCCCAATCCTCTCTTCAGCCTTCTCATAACGCATGAAAGAAAAAGGATCTTTTAAATAACTCTTCTTTCAATTATTTATCCCTATTTACTCTTTTAAAAATATTTACAATTTTATATACAATATTTTTCATATTTTGAATAAAGTTTACATATATTTTGAATTATAATAAACTACTTCTAAATGTTTATTGAATATCAAAGATAAAAAAATGGAATTAAAAATTCATTAGAAAAGAAAAATAGTTGTCAATCAGTTTGGAAATTCATATAATTGAAACTCAGGGCCCAGATATTCTATAATTACGTCACTGCGAACTTGAAAGATCAACGAGGAAGGAAGGGAACATAGAGAGGGGAATCCGTTGGAGGTTCGGAAAGCACGTCTGTCAAAAGGCAGCGTTTAGAAAAGGCTCTTCAACGTTGAACATACCGATGCCATTGCGGTATCGCAATCGCGGATCGGGTGATGCATTCATGGGTCCTTTGTTGTGCGATTCTAAGTTGACGATTGTAGTGTTTGTCTTTAAAATTTTCATCTATAATCATCAAGAAAAAGAATAACAAAGAAGACCAGGAAGGAATCGGCGGAATGGAGGAACAGCATCACCTTGACTTGATCAGACTCGCTTGAAAGCTCATCCTGAATACCGGTGGTGAGTCATTCTCACAAAGATTCCCCAGGATGTATCAGATTTCGTGGCACGCGCAATTCCTGATATTCACGTTTCTCTTTTTTATATGTTCTGCTAAAAAAATAGATAAACATATATAATTTTTTTTTTCTTCTCCTGAGTAAAAAAGTGTGATTCATGGATAATTGCAACATTTCTTACCCAAGTTCTTTAAAAAGTGCTAGAGCAGTACCTTAGAATGCCTTAAATGATTTTCATAAATCTTTTCATGAAAAAGAAGGAAAATATAAGGAATACGGGTACATAATTCCATGGCCAGTCATGGTTCAATGACTGGAAACCTGATTTTGCATAACAAGAAAAGTTCTCCTGATACAGGTGACACAGATGAAAGCAATAAAAGATTAAGAACTACTTTCCTTAAAAAAAATAAAAATAAAAATCTTGGTTATTAACAAATTTTTCAATAAATTACTAGCTTATGAAACATTGTAATAATATTCTTTTTAACAAAGAAAAGGAATTCAATGAACGTAGTTAATATTCCGTAACCACACTTTCCTCTTGATGATTTTCATTTCACTGTCGATGCTTTCACTCGCTCGATAATAGTATTATAATGCGAATTAACTAAAAATTAATCATCATATTTCTTTTTTTGTAATTAATAGTTTTAGTTAAATGAATGGAAAAATTGTGAAGGCTATATATAATAGATAAGATCAATTTCGAAATGAAAAGATTTTATTGTGAGTTTTAATAATATTATGAGTATAAAAAAAATGGCTAAATTCTTTAAAGACAACGCTAATGTTTGGAGATTTCAATGAACGCATAAGACATGTTTCCCTACACCTTCCCACGTGCCATAGACGGTAGTCTGGTCAATTTGCAATGTTAATTAATTCTTTCTTGTCGCCGACAGGGATACTTCCATAGAATATTGAAAAATCCGGCAGCACTGACCTCAGTGCACGTCTATAAAACGATTTTTATTCTATTGTGTACTTCAATAACGGAATGAATACAAATAATTAAGCTCTTCAAATAAAGTAAAAATAAAACATAAAATAAGAAAAGTTTAATTGCTTTTTGTTTACAAAAATATAAAAGCAAATAAAAAGTGACAGTTAAATTCTTCGATTGCTTTTAATAATATTTTTATGTAATATTTTTTTTTTATTTTATTATTTCTTTCTATTTTATTTTATTAATGGAATATTTCTTTTTAATTTTTAAAATTCTAAATTTGGACTAACAAAACAAAATTCTTTATAAATAATACTGTAATGTAAAATTTTGTGTTATAAAAAATAGATACTTATACCAAACCAGCATAATGTACTTTCAATAGAAAACATGCTGGTACTCATTATCGTTTCTGATAATATTAGTGTCAAGGTTTGTATTCTGATCAATGCATCAATGCATAATTCGGTGAATTTTTCATACTTTCTTGTACGCGATATCCAGGCCATGATTTATTAAGACACGTTCTTTATCACGTGTATACGAGATTGAAAGACATGTTCATAGAAATCAGTGCGTGGGATAGTCTCATAGTTAGCGGAAGAAATTTCGAAACCAGAAATTAAACTATCCAAGTCTATCAGATTTCTGAAAAACGTTCTGATTAAAGAAAAAATGTATCAATTTCATGTATTGTATATATTCATTGAATATAATATATAATATTGAAATATATTTATGAATTAAAAATAAAATAAAAGAAACTAATCTCACGAGATTATTATATATTTATTATAAAAAATAAATGAGAAATAAATTTTCTAAAAAAAAAAAAGAAATTGCTTCTAATAGTTATTAAATAATAAGAAAATAATTTATTCTTCCTAATAAAATGAGTTTTCTCTCAAGTTTCATTATGATAAATCATATTTATTAATTTATATTTCATAATTCTCTAAATATAAAAATAAAAATAATGACAAGGATTAAAATCAATAATGTACTTTGCTAAAAAAAAAAAAA